CCCTTGACACTCCTTGGGGCACAAGGCAAGTCCATCTGTGAACATAATTTTTCCCCCACACCCAACTTTAAAATGGGGAGGAGATGCCTTTCTCCACTTCTCCCATGGGATTTTGAGAGCCCTCCTCCCTGCAGGCTCCTGCTTGTCCTATGCACAGAGCCTGTTGGGCATCTGACCATCTGCCCGAGCAAATGCTGGGTTTGTTTGCTCCCTGCTAGCTGCCGGGGCAGGGCTGTGCCGGGTGTGCCGCCTGCTGAAAAGCCAGCCCTGAGTGCGTGTTTGCACAAACAGATGCAGCAGGCTCTGCTTTGACAAGGGTATTTTTAAATCCGCTCCAAACCCTTGTCAAGCCAGCTGTTCTACAAGCCAGTTGAAGGGCATTGCCAAAGCTGAACCTTGGTAGAGGTAACGTACCCAGCAATTTGGAAATAAAGGGCCTCTATTCATAAGAGTTGAGCAAGGCGCTTCATGGCCCCAAAGACATGGTCCTGTCTTCTCTGTGCCCTCAGAAAAAATAGCTCCATTCACTAGCAGACTGGTAGCTCTCCCCAGGAGAGCTGCACTGGGGAGTTGGGTGGGTTTTGTTTCTTTAACTGGGAGGAGCTGGGCTATGGTGCCGTGACTGGGCTGGTGTCAGTCATGCAGCCGAGCAACTGTTTGTACCTGTCACTGGTGGTCAGGTGCTTGTTGTGTCCAACAAGTTGTAAAACCTCGACATGCTGGAGGTGCCTGCTGGCACAGTGTGGCAGTTAAAACACACAGGTTACGTGTTTGGCCATGGAACAATGAGGCTTTGTTCCCAAATCTGCGCTTGGGGGAGAGGCCCTGAAGAAAAGCACACCTCATCACATAGTCCTGTGGGCATCACTACCAAGGAGCAGAACAGGCACACCAAGGGAGGGAGGAGGTTGAGGTGGCATGGGACACACATGGGACTACAGCAAATATCTGCAGTCTTACAGATGGCAAGGGCAGTGTGGTGTTTTCCTGGGGCCAAGGCTCAGTAGCAAAGCCTTCCCAGCTGTCACCAGTGCCATACGGTGATGAAAACAGCCACAGGGCTCTGGTCACAATGGTGAATTACAGTGTTAGCTGCATGATGCAAGGCTGAGCACTGCTTCACAGTATGTGCTGGCACACCACCTGTCCCTCTCCCCAGTACACTGGTCTATACTAAGCCAGATAGGTGTGTGTGTGCTGGGGGGAGACACCAGAGCCAAGCTGGCGCTGCACACTCGGCACAGGCTGTACCCATGCTGCCCCTCGCTGTGACACAGCCTGAGCTGGAAAAGGCTATTTTTACTGTGATTTTGGAAAGCCACTCACAGCCAATGCCATAGGAAACGGGTGGGTTGGTCAATTGTTTTTCCTCCTCTCACATTCCTGGAAAGAGGGGCCAACTTGAGGCAGGAGCTGTGGAGCAGGGCTGTGAGTCAGGAGGGCTGGGCTCGCTGCCTGCCTTTCCCTGGGGCTCATGGGGGAGCCAGGCCAAGTCACAGCCCTGTGAGACTCAGCTTAGAGCTCAACCACACGGCCAGAACTGCTAACCTTGTCCTGGGTTTCCCCTTAGCCTTGTCCCACGTTGCCTGCCCAGCACCAAACGTGCTCAGAGCTGGTTTGGTCTGCTGATACCTCAGAGCACCACACCCCAAAGCCTGAGGGACTGGAGCCTTTGCTGGAGGGCAAGGCTTCCCTTTGGCCTGGGCTGGGGTGGCAGGGACTTTAGCTCCTTCTCTTCCCCAGGCCACAGCAGCTCTCACCCACAGGATTGCCTCTCACCATGGGTCTGGACCTCCCACTGGAGACTCCAGAACACCTTATACCCAGTCTATGGAAACCTCTATTTTTATGCAAGAATGCTTAGTCAAGAAGGGGGAGAGTTAGGTACAATTTCTTCATGTCACAGAGACCAAAACCCATATCCCCTCTGTCTTGTAACAACTTTCACTGCCAGGCATAAGATATTCTGCAGGAAGGTGCTTCCAGCCAAAATGTTGAAGTGCTTTTACTTCAGCAGAAAAATGAAGCACTTGTTGGCCCAGAGAAAAAGCCTCTCTATGGACCAAACACCACTGCACCCTTTGGAAAGAGGCCTGGGTTGTCTTAGCCCTGCTCCAATTTCACAGACAAGAGCAAAGCACACACTAGAGAACAAATGGAATCTGGATCTCCACTCCCTCGTGTGAATGCTGTTATCATTAGATTACAAGGTCCAAGTCATTCTTTCCTTCTCATCTGGTCTTGTCTCTGGCGAATGCAGATTGAGAGGCTCAAGCGGTCATAACGCCCATGTTTGTGGAAGGCCAGAGTCCTGTGGCCTCCCCCGGGTTCACACCTGCTGGCCGACACGCCAGTTCACTCTGGGGAGCCTGCTTCTAATCAGATTTTTCTGATTTCAGCACAAGCTTCCAAATCCCAGGACAGAAGCATATGGTCCAAAGATTCCTGGCACTCTGCTGTATCAAATAAGGTTTGGTGTTGCAGGATGCACATCACATGTTGGCAGAGATCCATTCACACGATGCAAACCCCCTGAATGCTGGGTGGGGATTGGAATGGAGAGGCTGCAGCCTGAGCATCCTCCAGCTTCTCTTTCTCTGGATCACAATCTTCTTCCCTGTCCTTACTCTGATGAACTGTGTCCTGCAATCACACAGCTCCCCCAGATACTAA